ACTTTGCTGAAGCTTCCTCAATTCAAACAGTCTGTTGGTTCTCTCAGATTTTCTTTGTAGACGATTATATTGCCTTCAAATACAGACAGTGCAGTCTTTTCTCTCTGAGGCATTCAACTCTCATTTCCTTTGTTTTCTCTTACTGAAATGACTAGGTCCTCCATTACAGCACTGAACAGAAATATGATTTGTAGACATCCGTGTCTTGTTCTTGAAATTACTGAGAATCCTTTTGAATTCCCTTCTGATTTGTTTTTGTAATACGTATTAGTTATTATTTAGTCTTTATTTTTTAAAAATAACTACAGTTGATTAGTTTTACAATATATTTTTCATCTCTATTCATAAGTGAAATTGATATATACATTTTTTCTCTTGTTCCATCCTTATCGTGATTTCATTTAAAAGTTACATTAAAAAAAAAGTTACATTAATCTTATATAAGAACCTAGGTTGCTTTTCTTTTATTCCTTGAGGTACTGATAATATCTACCTAAAAAAATATAGGCCTGATGTAATCTGAAAGGTGTCACTTTGGTTATTACTTTCGTGTTGTATGTTTATTCCGGTTTTTAATTTCTTTGTGAATCCATTTGGGCAATTAATTATTCTACAAAATTACTATTTCATTAGATCTAAAAATATAGCAGTTCAGAATATAGTCTCTTACACATTTTATTGTCTCTTGACTTCCAATTACTCCTATTTTTATTGCTAACAATAAATTTATTGGTACCTTTTCATTTTTTCCTTGGTCAGGCTTGTTCTATTAGAACTGTTACAAAAATTCTTTTTATAAAATTTTTCTTTTCAAGCTTTTGGTTTTGGTATGTTCTGTAGCTTCTTATGTTTCACTAATTTGCACTATTATCTATTTGTCTCAAGGCTTATTCTGTATCTTTTTGAGCTTATTAAATTCTCAGCTAGTCATTCTTTCTTAAATTTTTCATTAGTGCATCTCAAGTAATATTTTTACCTCTTTGTGACCCACACACGACATAAAATACTTTCAATTTGCTGTATAACATATTTATAACAAACTTAGAATTTCCATTGTGACTTCCTCTTTAATTCCTGGAGAATGCTTTCCATGTTTCCATACATTTATATCTTTTAAAACTATCCTTTTCATAGTTCTAATTTAACTGCCTTGTGGACAGAGATTGTGTGTATTCCATACAACAGTAAATCTCTGAAATACGCTGAGACTTCCTTTATGACCTGGTACACAAATTCTGTGAACATTCAATGTGTACTCAAGACATTATCTCTACTTGTTGTGTACAAGTTTCCATATATACATCAGGATTATTTTTTTATTTTGCGAAACTATCATATACCTGTTAATCTTGGTTTGCCTGAACCATCAGGTACTCAAGTTCATTACTGCTAAAATCTTCCATATACCTACTAATCTTTAGTTTGTTCAACCCATCAGTTTTTGATGAAGGCACTTAAAATATCCCACTAACTGTGGACCTGCCAACTTCTCATATTTGAAGTTTTTTCTGATATATTTTGAGGGTATATTATTAAGTGCAGGTAAGTGTATGATATCTTCTTGGGGGCTCATTCCTTTAATATGCATTCCTTTATCCTACTTAACGTTTTTTGCCTTAAATTTTATTTGTATTTATGTAGCTTTCTTTTTGTTGGTATTTGCCTGGTATGTCTCTTTCCACCCTAATACTTCAACTTTTTTGATCAATTTTTAGTTATATACATCCTCCGTGGTTGCAAATTATTATGCACTTGCTCTATATTCCAATTGTTAAATTCTCTTGTGTTTTCTTTTCCACATAAGTTTAAAGCTTCTTAGATCTATTTTTATTGCTTCTTAATGCAAACCAATGGAATTACAAAGCTTAGCTGTGCACTGCAAGGAAACTAGAAGGGTAAGATTATAAAATGCAAAACTCTATAAAACACAAATCTCTTTAAAAGGAAACCACTATTCCCTGGAAAACCAACCAACAGCAATCTAGCATGTGAATCTATGATTTTCTCTTGGACCTTTGGTGATGTGGGCTTCTACCTGCCTTATCTGAGCTAGTTTAGAATGTTTCCTTTACTTCAAATAAAAGTGCTTGTATATAATCTCCAGTTTGCCTAATAATTTGATAAAAATAATGTCAATTTTAATAATAATTTTTTTCTGTTGATTGATTAGCCTTTTCTTTTTTGTGAAAGCCCACTGACTTGTCTGTCAGGGAACAGGGATCGGACAGCAGTCTTTCTGATACACAAGTAGTATTGCTGCAGGAGCTGCCTATTTCTCAATTAAAAAAACGAGTATACTGTATAAAACTGATCAACTGTGTATCTTGAGAGATTTCAAGGAAAACATAACCTCTCTCAAGTGTACTACAGTTCTTTCTTAAATTATTTAAAGGGATCACCAAGTTCCTACATAATCCTGGGAAGTTGTTTAAGTGGCAGTGACTGCCCTCGTAAACATTTCTTTTTTTTGAGCATTTCTTTTCAAATGTCTATCAGCATTTATAAATATACTGACTTACGTTTTTGTGTAAATCCTGACTATGTAGTGCTCTCATTTCTAGAGGAGCTAACATTTTTAATGGTTCTTTTGCTACAGTTATTATTAACTTCTATTACTCTGGCTAGTAACAGCCACGATGGGTCATTTCTCATTCCAGCTTTACTCTTATCTTTTTATCAATTAACCAGTCATCTCTGCCAATTCTTTTAGAATTAGGCTCCAGATCCAGAGCCTACACTGGCAGGGTATTTTTTTTTTTAACCCTATCTTTAGTCTTTCCTACATGGCTGCTTGGCAGCCCCAAAGAATTTACTCTCTTATCTTGTTTGCATAACTATGGCTTGACTCATACACAGAAGGGATTCTAAAAACAAGAAAGAATGATGAGTATGTCCTAAACTTTCCACTATGTTCACTGATACTCATAGGGCTGCCCTGCATTAGACCCAAAGAGTAGAGTGTTAGAAGAAAAACGGCAGCTCAGGCCTTCCACCTTGAGGACCATTTCAGGTTGGTTTTATTTCATGTACTGATAAAAGGTTTAGTAATTGTGTTTGGCTTCTCAGATGAGTGGAAGCACACTCATACGTTAAAACTGGCATGAGTGTCAGCAACAGTCTTCGAACAAACTGCAGTTAGTAAAACTCTAAAGGTTCATCAATGCCTGCATTTTATGCTGGAAATACATGGGAAAAATATGAAGATTGCATAAGAAGGGTTCTATGTTGAAATTTAAGATTAAACTTGCTGCTTAAGAGGCAACAAATGGAAGTAAAAATGCAAAACATCATGCCTTACATTCTTTGCTGCAATTCTCTGTGCCTTTTTTTCTTTCCACACTATAAAGTTTTAAGCTTCTAAAGGCTGCTTTTACCTCTGACATACTACCTAATGGGATTCCAATGCTTAACCCTGAAAGCTCACGCTGTCTGCACTGGTGAAAATGCTCACAGAGAGTCAGTAAAGGAGACACTATTCTAGCTAAGTTTTTTTTGTTGTTTTTTTCCTCAGCAGAAATATTTCTCCCCTGTTTTCTGGTACCTATTGTTGATATCTGTTAGGAGTCTGTTCTAGTATATTTGTGGGGTTTTTTTTCCCCTCCCCTCTTTGGTGGCCTATTTAAGGTTTTCTCTTTATACTTGTAGGTAACAGCATAATGTACTGAAATACGGATTCATCTTTCCTTATCCTGCTTGGCAGCTGCAGCATGCTTTCAATGTGAGAACTTGGGACTTCCTTCAGTCCCTTGGTTTTTCCACCATTCTCTCCCTTCTGTTCTTTGGAAATTCTCCTTAAATATATGCTGGAATTTCTCAGTCTATCTTCCATGGCTCCTAACTGCTTTCAGGTTAGCAAAAAAGCCTGTCTCTTTGTGCTGTATTTTAGGTGAACTTTTCATCACTCGTTCCTCTTGTCACCTGTGTCCAATCTGTTGTTTAATTCTATGTGCTGTGCTTTCAATGATCAGATTTTTCATTTTCAAGACTCTCCATTAGCTGTCATATTAAACTGCTCTATTTCATTTCTGCTCCAATTTTTCAGTTTCACAATTTCCTATTCTCAAAGGATGTTCCATTGTCAGTGATCTCTTTGATTATCCAAAACATACATATTTTAAAGTTTTGGAACATATACATCAATAGTTGATTTTGTTGGTGATCTTTCTTAGCACTGGATTTCAGAATTCATCAGAGTTTTGAATGGAAGGACAGCCTTTGGCAGAAGAACGGTAGTATCTGTCTTAGCTTCTTTTCAAAAGTGGGTTAATTTCTACCCCAGTCTCTGGCTTCAAGCAGGTGAAAGTGGCTCTGGCTGCTCATCCCACATGGAACCCACCTGGTCTCACTTATAGCCAAACTCTTGGGTGCCACCACCTACTTGGAATATAGACTCCAGGAGGCCCAAGGCTTTCTTCACAGTCGCTACTTGGCATCTCGGGTCCGTGAAGAGACTCATCCAGCTCTGGGTAAGGAAGCCCAGCTTTGTCTGTGGTTTTCTCTGTTCATATTTTACCTATCACGGCTATGTGTCTGGAGCAGAAGCAGTGAGCTGAAACAAACTCAGTGTGACATCCTGACTAGGACTTTACATAATCCCTTAGCACTGTAAATGAAAAACACTTACTTCTTACACTGTATAAATAAAATTAGCAGGGAATTTTAAAACCCCTTGTTTGTACCTAAATGGCAACCTAATTACAAAATATTTTCATAAATGCAAATTAAATCCTAACTTAAGGTTCAAATATATGTACTTGAAAGTAACTAAAACCCACTTATCCTAAAGTAAATTTACAAAACAGACAATGCAGAACAATTTCGTTTACATTTGAAATCAGTCTTACTTATAAAAGAAAAAACAGGACTCTCAAAGTAACATTTATCAGTTTTAACAAAAAATAAAGTCAGAAACTTTTCTACTGTATTGAACTTACAAGGCTATCAGCTAAATTAAAAAAAAAAATTTCGTACTGTGCTTCATGAAAAAAGGAGATTCATACCTTTTCACTTGTTAAAAATTTTGCAAAATATACATGCTCTCCTCCTGTTTTCAATTCTTCCATCTTCTTCCTTGAGGCCTGAGTATCATCTAATTTATAACTCTTAAAAACAGCTAAGACTTCTTCAGAATACTGCAAAATAAAAATACTAATTAGTTTTATTTGGCACTGTTGCCCAATCACTTGCTTAGTGCTTCACTATATCAAAATAATCTACAATTTATTCCCAGTTAACCGTATATGCATTCTGAAGGCACATTAACGAAGAAAAATTATGACAGCAAAATAGGATAAAACTATTCTGTGTGAGATTTTATGGTTACTCTAAAACTAGGAATGAGCTCTCTACTTCTGAAGATACGTGATTTCTTAAGTAGTTTGTGTAAGGAGAAAACAGAGAAGGGAATGTTTTGAGAGAATAAAGAAATTTGACAGTAAAATTAGCTGTCTAATCAGCAGTGGGAACTCTCAAGCCTTTTCTGTGCTAAAGACAGCGACCAAATAAAAACAGGATGTCAAACCCTATCCAGTTGAGGGACAATCCCAAGTGATTTCTCACTTACTATTTAATCTCAATTTGGACAGTTATGTGGAAAAGAAAAAGTACTGCATATAAAATAAAAACTTTATTGCACATAAAACTTTAAAAAGTAACAGAATACACACCATTCTCCTTTTAAAAGCTATACTTATTAACTTTAGATTCTGACTACAACAAAAAGGACAAACTGACCTTTAAGTACAAGAAAAGAAATACAGAGCATTCTTTGGAAAAAAAAAAAAAAAGAAGTTGGCAAATTTTTCCTGCAAAAAGTCAGACAGCAAATATTTTAGACCTTATGACTCATCAAATGGTCTCAATTACAACTACAAAAGTCGGCCATTATAGCACAAAAATAATCACAGATAATATGTCAATCGTTGGTGTGGCTGTTTGCCAATACTGTATTAACTTTATTTACAAAAGCAGGCATTAGGCTGGATGTGGTCCAAGACCATAGTCTGCAGAGTCCTGTTCTAACAGGATAGACAAAATAATTCTGTGCAAAATAAAGGCAGAATGTAGTCTGCAAACAGTTCATCAATGCATGTTGGCAATACTATGTAAAAAATCAAACCAATATAAAAAACCAAAGCTGTTAACTACTAACCTTTAAATCCTCAAATAATTTATAAACTACTCTCAAAATCAATTGTTTACGTATTATTCTACAGCTTACCATCTACATTATGAAATAGGTATAAAAACATAACAGGCAGAAGAACTAAATAGGGAAAAGTATGCTGGACAAGAGTCAGGTTCTGACTGCCATTAGCTATAAAATAATGGGCTCTTGGTACTTTGCAATGGCAACTCACCTTGAGAAAAGTTTTCCATGAGATTTTCTCATAGCATTGCACAGGGTTCCTAAAGTAATCCTGAAGTGACCAAAATTTTCGGTACAGGTTGTAATCAATTGGAATGGAGCTGATAAAACAAATGTTACATTAAATAAATCATTTAAGTCATTTTAAAAATATCTAAATGCTTTAGTTTTCCTTGGGGCACAAATCCTTTTAAAAAGCTAATGAAAGCCATGGCCTCTTTCCCCAGAAAAGAATACAAATTCATAAATACTTATATAAACTTTACTATAAATAATTTCAGGGGTTCTCAGACCCTTATTCCATCTTTATCTTCAGTAGTGGAACCCCTGAATTTTGGCTGGATACATTCAGAATTTAAGGCTATGTTCCCAACCTCTCTTGCACCAGATGTGGCCATGTGATTAGATTCTGTCCAATCAGCTGGGAGTGGGAGTCACATGTCCTTTGTGGGCCATTTTTCACCATTTTCCCTTTTCCCTGGCTGGAAGGCAGATGTGATGATGAACCATCTAAGACTACAGGAAAAAGAGCAAATACCCAGGGACAGTGGACTAAGAAGTCAGAAGGAACCCGGGTCCCCAGACGATCTCCCTCAAAAGGGCTACTGTGTCAGCCCTGAAGCACCTGTCTTCAGACTTTTACGTCAGAAAGAATTAATTTCTATGTGGTTTAAACTAATGTTCATTTGACTCTAATGTTAAAAAGTCAAAGGTGCTATACCCCAACCAACACACTAAGCTAGGGAGACCTAGTAGGGAATAAACACATTAGGTACATATCAATTTAGGATTACAAAAATGGCACTACTAGTTCAATCTGGATACATTACAAATCTTCAGTGTGAACACATATTCTTTTAATTTTTAATTTTGCAAGCAATCATCATGCTATCAACTGTTTCAACTTTTGATTTTAAAACAGACACTTAGACTTTATATCAGCAAATCCTGTTAAAAATGGCTGTGGTATCAACTATTTCATATCCTCCAATATCTACAAAAATATTTCCACATTACCACTTAAAACTAATTCTGTCTGTAAACATAATTGCATACTAGCTTATTCCACTCATTCTGAACTAAACCTTAAAAAGTTGAACCTATGGATTACAGTTAGCATCTTTGCTAAGCTTCATGTCCATACAAATATTCCAAGAAACACTGTAGTTTTTTATGGGAAACAGGAAGTAGGTTTAGTGATCCATACAGCACCATGATCTCAAAGCCATGCTGTGAGAGGGAGAAAGGGAGGAGCTAGATGCCTGCGGTTGGCTTTTCAAATGTTACGCATCTGTGTTAAGGTCGGCTACACTGAAACAACGGACTGCCTGCACACAATTTAGAAACCAACTGATTCAGTCCATTAATGATTTAGGAGTTAAAATTTTAAGACATATACATAAAGTTACAAATAAAAGGAATCTATAAGCATTATTTCCTTCCTCCTTGTCTACATTCTCCTACCTCCTTCCTCTCTGTACTACCTCAGTACTTGGTAAATCATTAAGGTATTTTCTGTGTAAATCAAGAAATCTGAACTTTTAAACACTCACCAAGTTGTTGGAGCTTCATCATCTCCCATTTCACCTTCTTCTACATCCATTCCTTCTTCTCTGTCCTCTGTGTGCTAAATTTTAAAAAATGTACATCTGGTCATAAAGCAGTTGTCAGGCAGAAGAGAATTCTACATGACAGGGATCCAAGAACTCAAGAGCAGTATGACAATAAGATAATCATGAAGATACAGTGTAAAGTTTTAAACCAATACTTTTCCAAATATGGTCAGTAGATTCTCTCCACGAATAGAGAACCTATGGCAAAACATGATTTGGAAATACAGTACACAATGATCTTTTGTGAGAAGTGAGAAGATCATTAGTACACTAAGGACTCCATGAATCACAGTAACTAACTCTCAAAGGGAATTTAAGTAGTTTTTGTCCCCAACTTTCACTGAACTCTGAAAATCTTCCCCTACTCATACACATAACACTTTTTATCTGGGAACACTTTAGGATATGCTTGGTGTCCAGCTCTATATTGAAAATTTTTAAACAACTAGTTTACATAGACTAGTCCAAGAAATATCTAAAAGATACATAAAGGGGAAAGGAAAAATCTTAAAGTCAGTATCATTTCCAAAGTGACAATGATTACAATTAAAGGAATAAATTAAGTAAACTATTCTGATTAATTTAATGTGAAATATTAGTTATATCTAATTAAACAATTTTTAAACTTTATAACTTGCTCCTAAATGAAGAGCAGGTAACAAATGTCCAACAATTTCCCATCTCTGGATTGTTTTCAGTGCCAGGTATGCTCAGTCGGGTCCGACTCTTTGTGACCCCATGGACCGTACAGCCTGCCACGCTCCTCTGTCCATTGAATTTTCTAGGCAAGAATACTGGAGTGGGTTGTTACTTCCTTCTCCAGGGGATCCTCCCTGACCCAGGGACTGAACCCATGTCTCCTCTACCACTGTGCTAACCTGGGCAGTGCGAGTTACCTCCGGAACAACTTAAAATGTGTTCTGTTGATTTCACATCAGCCTCACCTTCTGACCCAGTGTGCTCTCCTGCTCATTGGTATTGAAAACAGTGACATTTTCCAGATTAAACTGACTCTGCAAGTTAAGACCTATTAAAAAAAAAAAAAGATTTTCAAAGCAAACCCAAATACCTAAACCAGTTTAAGAATACAACTTTGTTGTCATGTAACTAAAATATATAAAATGATAAATAACTAATTAAGCAAAAGATCAAGTCAGAAATAATATCACACTTGATTTTCAAATTCTTTCTAAAATTCATTTCTTGAAGGTGCTTTTAGAGTATGCAGAATTCTATACATACTAATACAGATATAGTTGATCTGTTATTTATGAATATTCTAGAACAATTTTACAGAATGCTTTATGTACTAATTTATGACTTTGCTGAAGCACAATCAGAAATTGTATTACTCAGATAGTATAAATGTGTAATAATGTTTACAAAAAAAGTTATAGTGAGAGCCATGTTTCTGTTAGGGAAAGAAGTTAGAAATAAGCATGTCTATTGGTATGAGATTAGACTCACAAGTTATCAGTCACTATGATATCACTGTATTGTTTTTGGTCATTTAAAAAAAATGTAGACAGATAATAGCAATAACGATGCATATGTATATGTTAGTATTTATACATATTTTTCCAAGCTCTGTGCACTGAGATGGCTTAGAAGCAGTGATATTCTAGTAACAATTAGCATATCTAGGGCCCAGATCTTGTCTTTTAAATACGATTTTAAAAATAAGACAAATCAGGCTCTTTGGAGAAGTGGCTGAGAAGGAAAAATACATGATGCACCTGGACTATCCTTTTATATCAGAAATGCATGAAAGAGAACCCAATGGGGAGAACTTGAACAATTTGAACAAATAATGATATTGAGATTATAATTCATATAAAATAAATATTCATGAGTTTCATTTTGAAATAGATGATTGAACTGATAAGTAAACAAGGGGGAAGACACAATTGCTTTTCGTTTTTTTTTTTTTTTTTTTGCTGCATTGTATGGCTTGTGGGAATCTTAGTTCTCTGACCAGGGATCAAACCTAGGCGCTCAGCAGTGAAAACTCAGCATCCCAACCACTGGCCCGTCAGGTAATTCCAGAGACAAGTCTTCTTTAGAGAAGAATTCCAATTCATAAATGTAGAAGGTATGAAAGAGACAGAAAATCACCACCAGGAAACCTAATAATAATTGCTATAGGCAAGATCCACTGATGAATGCTACTCAACTCAGTGGGCAAAGATCTAAAGAGAAAAAGAATATTTGCATAGCCTCAAAGTATCTCCCTCCAAATATTTATTAATTACAAAGGGGAAAATAGTAGCTTTGTAGCAGAGAAATATGGTGATCAAGGATACCCTCTTAATTAGGTGATCAAAGATAATATCCCCAGTAAAAAGACACATCAACACCATGCTGAAACGATGCACTGAGAAAAGCACATCACCTCTGCGGTCTCCTTCCGCAAATCCACAACCGCAACCTAACTGTGAAAAACACCAGACAAACATAAATTGAAGGGCATTCTACAAAATACCTGACCAGGACTCTTCAAAACTATCATGGTCATGAAAAAAACTGCAAAGGCTGAGGAACTGTCACTGACTGGAGAGATTAAAATGAAATCACAACTAAATGTAGGATCCTGCACTGGATCCTTAAACAAAAAAGAAAGCAGTGATAACACTGATACGGTCTAAATAAAGTACTGCACCAATGCTGATTTCTCAGTTTTGATAAATGCACATAGTATGTAAGAAGTTAACATTAGGTGAAGCTATTCAGGTATTTTATAGTATCTTTACATATACGTATACTCTAGACTTTAAGTCTAAAACTATTTTAAAACAAAAAGCCTTTTTTTTTTTAAAAAAAAGAAAAACTAGTATGCTAGATGAAGTCATTAAGCTAGTGAATGAACTTGGCTCACCATTCTGTATTAATTACTTAGAACATCTTTTGTCTATTCTCTATTACTCAACAGCACATGACATAATTCTCCATCGGGTTAAAAATTTCAGTCACACTTAACTAAATTTAATGGATAAACTACATGCTAAAACAGCTTTCTAAAGGTCTTGGGATATAGTCTACTGACTCTTCAGCATCTACAAACACAAGAAAAGAAAAAGTACTACAAGAAGATATCCCGAAATGCCAACCTAGCTTATGTTAGTAAGGATGTTTGGAAACTGGGAGGCACTTGCATCAATGATAAGACTGTAAAATGAAGCAGCCACTTTGGAAAACAGTCTAGTGGCTCGTCAAGAACTTAAACATAGAGTTACCATGTGATCCAGTAATTCTACTCTTAGATATACCTCCAGGAGAAATTAAAATAGTTACTATATGACCCATCAATTCCATTCTATGTATATGCCCAAGAGAAGTGAAAACATACATCCACACAAAACTTGTACACAAATGTTCACAGCAGCATTATTCACAACAGCCAAAAAGCAGAAGCAACTCAAATGTCCATTAACTGAAAAATGGATAAATAAACTGCAGTCTATCCACACAGAGAATACCCTTCAGTTGTAAAAAGGAATTAACTACCTATACATACAACACAGATGAATCTTGAAGATGCTAAGCTAAGTTAAAAAAGCTAGTCACAAAAGACCACATATTGTATTATTCCATTTTTTTAAATGTCTAGAATAGGAAAAATCCACAGAGATGAGTAAGCAGATGCATCTATTCTTCGGGGCCTGGGAGAGAGGGCAGGGATGGGGGTAAGTGCAGAGTGACAGTTAGCGGGCACAGGGCTCCTACGGGAGGAGAAATGTTCTGAAATCAGCTGCGGTGATGACTGCACAACCCTGTGAATATACTAAGAAAACAGAAAATCGCACATTTTCAATGGAGAACTATATGGTATGTGAATTCACATCTCAGTAAAGCTGTTAAAAAATATAAAAAGTTGAGCTTCCAGTAACAGAAGGCTAATAATTAACTATCTAATTAACAATTCAGATTAATCCTCTCACTAAGGACAGCTACAAACTTGGATCAACTAATTCTATAAATTCTTAAGAGTATAAACCCTGTTCACAGCATTGTTTTAGACAATGAAATAGAAAAATTGTTTTTTCGTAAAAACTGTAAAGAGCTAAGGTTCAGTGAGGAATATATGGCAAAAAACCAAGGCAGCAAGAAAGATAAGCAATGCAGTGTCAGTACTCAAAGCCATTTCTGTTTGTCAAACAGGAAGAATCAGTTGCAAAACTGAGCCACTCTTTAGCAGCTTCCTGAAGTAAGGATGTTAAAACAAATCTAAGGAAGATGCGGAATCTAATAAATCCTACCCCAACCATCTTCTAGACTGGGACGCACAGGGTTACGTCCTCAAGTAGGGATGAACCAAACTGCAGCCCAGCGCCAAGTCTTCTCGATGACCTAAACAATCACAGACCTTGAGCTAGGCTAGATGAAGGTAAGCTTACATTAGTCGTAGCAACTTCTAGGGTGCCTGGCAGGTCATGAAAGCTCTCTCTCGAGAAAGGTATCTAACCCAGGCCTCCAAATTATTCCTTCTAATATCTTCTCAAACATAACATCAAACGCTAACCAGAAACACGAAAGAGGTAAGACACCATGAGTGAGCAAAAGGCACAGGAGTGAGTGAGAAAGAGCCACAAAGACTTAAGACGTTGGCGTTATCAGACACATAAATAAAGTGACAACGCTCACCCTGGTGAGACAATTAAAAAACAAGTTTGAGAATAGCAGGGAGTAAGAAACTAAAAAGTGACACAGCAGACTTAAAAAAAGACTTTCTAGAAATGAAATGTACAGTTACTGAAATTAAGAACTCATTTTCAGCAGATTATTCATAGATGAACAGAGAAGTAGTAAACTAGAAAACATTTCTAAAGAAATCATACAGAATGTGAAGGAAAGAGACAGAGATGAAAAATGCAGAAAGTGTAAGAGACAGATGAGGTATAGAATGTTAACTAGAGTTCCATAAAGAGAAAGCAGCATACACAATATCTGAAGAAATAGCAGCTTCCATTTTTACAAAGTGGATGAGGGACAACCAATACATAAACTCAAGATGCCCACAAATCTGAAGAATGATAAATTTTAAAAATCCATGCTTAGATACATTATATAAAACTGAAAAACCAAAAACCCCACAAACAAAAATTCAAAGAAAAAGAAAATTTCAAGACCAGAGAAAAAAACAAAACAAAACTAGACTATCTTCAAAGGAGTTAGACTCACATCTGACTCCTCTCTAGAAGACAAAGGCAAAGTAATGATGACCTTCCACTAAATGAAATCCTATATCCAGTGCCAACCTACAAGCTCTATACTTCAACCACTCTATCTAATCTTCAACCATTCTTCAAGAGTAAAGAAATAAAGATTTTTCAGACAAAACAAAATTTGCACTAAAGTCTAAAGACTAATAGTCACAGATAGAGGATCAGAAATACAAGTTGTAAATACAATGGTAAATTGAAATTAATCCTGACCACATTTAAATAAGAGGAAAGAAAAAAAGCAGAGATACAGCAGGACAAAAAGAAAGTCACAGGTAATTTTGCCACTGCTAACACACACTATAGGTCTTACCAGAAGCAGGCACTGTTGTAAGCTCTTCCATATTTTAACTCATTTAATCCTTACAACAACATGTGAAGTAGGTGGTAGATTAGCTGATATTAAGGAAGGGGTGACTGAGGCAGATAGACAGTTAAAATCTGGCATATCGGAACAGACTGTGGAGGGCTTGAGAACACCGCCATGCTTCACTTTTGGAACCGAACAGTGGTTACCCAACTATTTGCTTCATAATTATTATACTATATACTTACTTTATGCACTTTCATTCTACTGTTATATTTCACAATGATGAAAGAAACAAACAAAAAGTAAATGTGACTAAACAGTAGTGACTGAAGAAGAAAATGGAAGCAGAAAAACTGGCAAGAAATGAAAGAAAAGAAATAAAAGAAATAAAGAAATTTATTTCATAAGAAATGAAATAAAAACATGATTCATGGCTACATATTTCAGTGTGATTCAACTGTACATTATTATTAATAAGCTTTGAACTTGAAGAATCAATGGCTTTATTTGAGTGTTACCTGTATTATACACTGGAACAGGTACAACTATTTACAAGTAAAGGAAAATCAAGCGACAATTTCCTATGCTATCTTTCAACTTTTTAGAATCTTTTTTTTTTTAAATCATCATGGTATATTCTAGTCAATGAAAAACAGGTAAAAATTTTCCTGCAAAGCAATTTATGTACAAAAGCTCACCTGATTTCTCAGATAAAGGGAAAAGCCTGGCCAAAAAGAGCTGAATTCGTCCACAGAAGACTGTATTCTGGGATTTTGATAATCTTCGTAGGAGATCTAACAACAAATGGAAATGGAGACAAAGGTTACACAGAAGAGATCCTTCTATATTTATTACAATATATCCAAGTGTCTTAACCAGTTCAAAAGTATTTTCCTAAAGCAGTAGTTCTCAAAATGGGGGTAGAAACTATTTTCTGTCACAAAAAAAGGACTAGAAAATTAAAAATAAAACGAGTTTAACATGAGCAAGATAAAAACCAATCATTTACTGATGAGTTACGTACCATTGCACATACGTAGTAAATAATTTTTCCCAGCAGAATAGAATGTATTCTGAAATTAAAGACAGAAATTATTACTATTGTTCTGAAGTTGGTGCACATTCTTCAATAGTAAGTCACAGGAAGTAAGATTTATAGAACACTAGTATGTGCTGAGAATCTACTATGTCGCTTTCACTTTTTCCAAGCAAATAACATATTTAATGAAATATTTTCAAACATACAACAAATACGATTCTAAGTAACTTTTAAAACATGTAAAAGTGTGTGTTTTCAAGGTAACTGTTTCTACTCAAATTTTGTACTGTCACTTTTTTCTCCATGTGACTCTTAACTTGGCTTTTCCAAGTTTGTCTTTATAATTCTCATAAAGACAAACTTTTTAGCAATCAGCAGTCAGAAATAAAAGCAAGAAACAAAACAAACTACCCCCAGAACTCTAGATCTATAGAAAGCTAAAGTTAGTGGAAAAAGAAACTAAGGCACTTACTGATTTCCAAGTAGCAACATTTCTTTCCACAAAAGTGAATATTGTGTCGCACTGATCCAAAGGAAGACAGTCCAAAACATCTCCCAACAATACAAAAGGTGTAGATGCCGTACAAATACCTTCAAGTGGAGCACAAGCCAATTTAAAAGTTTAAAATACGGCTGAGTAAAAGAGCTCATGTAAAAAATTTTGAAGATAATCTTAAAGGTACACTTTGTCAATCCTAACAAGGCTGTGAAAGGCAAGAAACAGAAGCAACCTACAAGTCCCCAAGCAGGATATACTTAAGTTCATTTAAGTTTTGGTATGTGATGATAATCACCCTTATAACCCTTCTAGAGCATTTACTATATGTCAGTGCTTCAAATACACTAGTATGTGTAATTCTCATAACCCTATGAGGTAGAAAACATTATCTCCAGTTTACAGAATGGGAAAACTGAGACAAAGAGAAGTTAAATAACTTGCTCAAGATCATAGAGCCAGTAAGCAGTAGAGCTGGGATACGAACCCAGGCAGTCTGGCTCCACAGTCTATTTTCTTCACCACTAAGCTATTCAAAAGAATATAATGCAGCCAACTAAAAATGATGGTTATGATGACTATAATAACTTGGAAAATGCTTATGATATAATGTCAAGTGAAAAAGGCAGGGTTCAAAACTATGGATATTATGGTTATAACAATAAAATCTATTAAAAAGACTAGAGAAACTAAAATCATATACCAAAATAAATGGTAGTTTTTTAAAGTAGAAGAACTGGGACTACTATTTTCCCCTTTCCTCATTTCCAAATGTTCTGTAATAATGCTAAATTTAAATTGTCTTGGTCATTTGAAAAGATCTAGTTCAAAAAAGATAACAAAAAGGTTTGATACTAATTTCAGTTCTTACTATACTTTTAAAATAATACTGTTGTTTCAAAGGAAAAATTGGTAAAATAAAAAGTTATGTCTAAATTCAATCTTACTAAAGCAATAAACTAACGACTTCAAGGTCATCTAGGCTAGTTAAAAACGCTTTTATCCCCCTGCTCATTCTTCTTTCTATTTTTAGGTAATAGATACCAATACTTGTTAAGGGTTTAGGAAAAGTAGCCACTTCAGCATGGTATGTAAAAAAGTATCTAGGGGCACTATTAGCCCCTAACACTGCATTCACACAGTGGTTCAGAAACCGGAAGTAGTATTTCCAGCTCTGTGCTGCACTGGAAAGATCATAGCTGGAATGTAGTATGAGGGATACTGTCTAGAACCAGTGAGGCATAAAGCAGCAAAGTTCAACTCAATGCAACGGAAATCTGATCATCAGAACCAGCTAACAGAAATCAAATGGTGAGCTTCATCAACTGGAGCAGAGGATGACCCCCTGCCCAGGATGTTACTGAGAGGAGACAGGCCAGGCCAGAGACAAGACTGAACTGGATGACCTCCAAAGTCCTTTATAACACTTAGATTTGTGATACTTTGTGTCCTGTATACCCAAGAGATTAGAGTGCATACTCCCTGCCCTTAGCTGAAGTAAAATTTGGCAAAATAACACACATTTAATAATTACAGAACTTAAGAAAATTACCTAGATTCCACTCTCAAAGATTCAATGAAACTGAGTGAAAGCCTAGCAGGCTCATTTAAAATGGAGATTCACTGGTGATTCTGATGAGCTGAGTGATAACATGATTCCCCAACACTGTCACAACCTGTGTCCCAGCCTCTATGCTGCCCTCTGAGCTTCATCTTAACCTTAGCCACAGACACCCCCTCCTGAGTTCCCAACACCTTGCTATGTTCATCAAGTCTGCATAGTTTTGTTTACAATGTCTTCTGCCTAAATAGGCTTCTTCGTCTCTATCACATGGTAAATTCCTACTCAGTCTTTCAAAGCATAGAGTACATACTGCATCTAAAAAACTCTTCTGGTACTTTTGTGTAGGCTACCACATCTCTGCTTCTGAAAGCACACTGTACATAAATTATAGTACTTATCATATCCAAACTGTTTATTTTTGTTATGTAGACTATGAGCTTTTTAAAGGTAGGCATTTTTGAAGGTTCTCACCAGTGGAGTCTGACACAACAGAAGCTCAATAAATATCTGCCAAGTTGAGTTTAACAAAACATGTTTATGGACAATTTGAAAATCTGTCACATAATAAACAATACAATAATATTGCTCTCAAGAAGAAATTTTTCCCATTAAATTAAAATAAAGAGGTATTTAAACTTTTATTCATGGCTCAACTGAGTTCTTAAGTCCCTATCTTTCTCAAATAAAGTAAAAGTTTTAAACACAGACTTTGTATAACTTCAAGCATTTGCCAGCAAAGGTCCGTCTAGTCAAAGCTATGGATTTTCCAGTAGTCATGTATGGATGTGAGAGCTGGACCATAAAGAAAGCTGAGCAGCAAAGAATTGATGCTTTTGAACTGTGGTGTTGGAAAAGACTCTTGAGAGTCCCTTGGATAGTAAGGAGATCCAACCAGTCAATCCTAAAGGAAATCAGTCCTGAATATTCATTGGAAGGACTGATGCTGAAGCTGAAGCTCCAGTACTTTGACCACCTGATGCGAAGAACTGGAAAAACCAATTTGAAGAGCCATTGGAAAAGACCCTGATGCGGGGAAAGATTGAAGGCAGGAGAAGGGGACGACAGAGGATGAGATGGTTGGATGGCATCACCAACTCAATGGACATGAGTTTGAGCAAACTCCAGGAGTTAGCGATGGACAGGGAGGCCTGGCGTGCTGCAGTCCATGGGGTTGCAAAGAGTAGGACATGACTGAGTGACTGAGCTGAACTGACTGAAGCATTAAAAACATTACCAGTTTATAAGAGTATCATATCAGGATAATCAATGAATGAAGTAGATGCTGCAAACTGACTGGAACTGGCAAGAAACACTCCACTGCAGTACTCGTTAGAATATGCTTAATAAATGAATGATGAATAAGCATTTCATATAAGTTTAACTCCTAAAGCCAAAATTTATGAACTACTTAAGTTCACAAAATTGCTTGTGGCTACACTGGAAGATCACTTTTACCTGGTATGTTTCAGTTTTTGTAGGAATAAGTATCAAAATAATAAATATGTGAATAGTGCTTTACAGATTAAAAGGCACTTTTCACATAAACTATATGAATAAATCAAAGGAATATTTTAACCAAACTAATCAAAAGAGTACTGATGAACTACTTTTTCATCGATTCTTTATGCAAATATTTAATGAGCTACTACTGTGTATTAGTCACTGTGTACTCACTACATGCCTTTTTAAAAGTCTGCTGAAACTACCTCCTACTAAACCTGGCCCATCTTAACCATCCTCTACCTAGTTTTCCTGCCAGCAGTTTCTCGCCACCCCATGCCTTTCCCATAGGTACTCTTTAGCACAGGATACAAAGCCCTTTACAAATGATCACCTTCCTGCTTCTTTCCTCATGGTTCTCATCATCCTCTCAGCATTCTGCTCCAGTTTTTTTTTACAGCCCTTACACCCCAGCTCCTAAGTTACAGTTTTCTTCCTAGCCCATCCTGGTCCCTTCAGCGTCTGAAGTTTAAAGAACCACTTCAAATACACTTCAGTCCCACTTCAATTACCCCCAATAAGATATTTACACGTGTTTCCTTCATGAACCACTAGGTTCCTTATAGGCAGGGAATATATTTTATTCACTACTGAATCTCCAAGTCCTAGCTCAGTACCAGGCACATAGTAGATGCTCAATAAATAGGCACTGGATGAACGAAGGAAGTGGAGAACAAAGAATGTCAGTGTGCACTGTATACTAGTGACAAGAAACAACTGTGAGTTAATTTCAGTGGGACTTCTTGGCAAGGGGGGTAGGTAGGCAGAATTTGAAAAATGAACAAAATCAACTAGGTAGAGAGGTATGGGGAGAATATGTTTTCAATACAGCATGTCATGTCCAGCATTATTTTAAAACCAAACCAAACCATACTTACCTTCAGTTACTCCCCCAATAGCAAGAGAAATAATAGCTAAAACGTTTTCACATGATGAATGATTTATCTACCAACAAAGGAGAAAACAACTTAATTTAGGAACCAGAATTTAGACTAATTTGATAATAAGAAAAACATACCCTCTGACATTAAATTGATTATCACAAACATTGGATAAAGATATTTCTCACAGAGGATAAAATTACTAAGAATATTTTAAAAATGAATGATAAGAGCCCTAACTGTAGAAGTATAATAAATAAATAAGCAGCAGGTGATTCACTTAAAATCCAAGAGCCTTGGGAAGATGGTTACATTGCATGATTAAGCCTGTAAGCTAATCATGTAAAGATGTGCTGAGGCCATTAAGTCACTCAAAGGCAGCAGACCAAAGGCTGGGCCAGGGGGATTAACTGCACTAGTGCATCAATATGTCTTGGGGAGGGTTTTATTAATAATAGAAGAGAGATGATGCTTAGGTTTGATAACATCATAAAAAACAGCATTTATTGAGTGTTTATTAAGTGCCGTTTTACGCAACCCCGAAAAAATGGTGTTTCCTCTCTTACAAATGAAACTGAGGCTCAAAAAAGCAAGGTAACCTTGCCCAACGCCTAACAACAGGTGACTAGGTCTGAAGAAGAGGAAAGAATGAATACAGAACTGTCCTAAAGAAAGGGACACTGTTTTATGGGCTCTGGAAAAGAACCTAGCTTCTTGGGATCCAAGCTTTGCTAAATGAAGAATAAGCTGTTGGAACTTTTCCTTCCATTTGGGTGTTCCACTAATGGTACACAAAGTCAGATTTTTCAGGTTTAAATTTCTGTACTGAAGTTGGATAGGCTCTTGTTGTCTATTACTAACTGAGAGGGAGGGTGCTGGTAAGGAACATGAGGGGAAGTTGGGTAGGCTCCCGTTCTCTATTACTAACTGAGAGGGAGGGTGCTGGTAAGGAACATGAGGGGAAGTTGGGTAGGCTCCCGTTCTCTATTACTAACTGAGAGGGAGGGTGCTGGTAAGGAACATGAGGGCAAGTTGGGTAGGCTCCCGTTCTCTATTGCTAACTGAGAGGGAGGGTGCTGGTAAGGAACATGAGGGGAAGTTGGGTAGGCTCCCGTTCTCTATTACTAACTGAGAGGGAGGGTGCTGGTAAGGAACATGAGGGGAGGTTGGATAGGCTCCCGTTCTCTATTGCTAACTGAGAGGGAGGGTGCTGGTAAGGAACATGAGGGGAAGTTGGGTAGGCTCCCGTTCTCTGTTGCTAACTGAGAGGGAGGGTGCTGGTAAGGAACATGAGGGGAAGTTGGGGAGGCTCCCGTTCCCTGTTGCTAACTGAGAGGGAGGGTGCTGGTAAGGAACATGAGGGGAAGTTGGGGAGGCTCCCGTTCCCTGTTGCTAACTGAGAGGGAGGGTGCTGGTAAGGAACATGAGGGGAAGTTGGGTAGGCTCCCGTTCTCTGTTGCTAACTGAGAGGGAGGGTGCTGGTAAGGAACATGAGGGGAAGTTGGGGAGGCTCCCGTTCCCTGTTGCTAACTGAGAGGGAGGGTGCTGGTAAGGAACATGAGGGGAAGTTGGGTAGGCTCCCGTTCTCTATTGCTAACTGAGAGGGAGGGTGCTGGTAAGGAACATGAGGGGAAGTTGGGGAGGCTCCCGTTCTCTATTACTAACTGAGAGGGAGGGTGCTGGTAAGGAACATGAGGGGAAGTTGGGTAGGCTCCCGTTCTCTATTGCTAACTGAGAGGGAGGGTGCTGGTAAGGAACATGAGGGGAAGTTGGGGAGGCTCCCGTTCTCTGTTGCTAACTGAGAGGGAGGGTGCTGGTAAGGAACATGAGGGGAAGTTGGGGAGGCTCCCGTTCTCTACTGCTAACTGAGAGGGAGGGTGCTGGTAAGGAACATGAGGGGAAGTTGGGGAGGCTCCCGTTCTCTATTGCTAACTGAGAGGGAGGGTGCTGGTAAGGAACATGAGGGGAAGTTGGGGAGGCTCCCGTTCTCTATTACTAACTGAGAGGGAGGGTGCTGGTAAGGAACATGAGGGGAAGTTGGGGAGGCTCCCGTTCCCTGTTGCTAACTGAGAGGGAGGGTGCTGGTAAGGAACATGAGGGGAAGTTGGGGAGGCTCCCGTTCTCTGTTGCTAACTGAGAGGGAGGGTGCTGGTAAGGAACATGAGGGGAAGTTGGGGAGGCTCCCGTTCCCTGTTGCTAACTGAGAGGGAGGGTGCTGGTAAGGAACATGAGGGGAAGTTGGGGAGGCTCCCGTTCTCTATTACTAACTGAGAGGGAGGGTGCTGGTAAGGAACATGAGGGGAAGTTGGGGAGGCTCCCGTTCCCTGTTGCTAACTGAGAGGGAGGGTGCTGGTAAGGAACATGAGGGGAAGTTGGGGAGGCTCCCGTTCTCTGTTGCTAACTGAGAGGGAGGGTGCTGGTAAGGAACATGAGGGGAAGTTGGGGAGGCTCCCGTTCCCTGTTGCTAACTGAGAGGGAGGGTGCTGGTAAGGAACATGAGGGGAAGTTGGGGAGGCTCCCGTTCTCTGTTGCTAACTGAGAGGGAGGGTGCTGGTAAGGAACATGAGGGGAAGTTGGGGAGGCTCCCGTTCCCTGTTGCTAACTGAGAGGGAGGGTGCTGGTAAGGAACATGAGGGGAAGCTGGGGAGGCTCCCGTTCCCTGTTGCTAACTGAGAGGGAGGGTGCTGGTAAGGAACATGAGGGGAAGTTGGGGAGGCTCCCGTTCCCTGTTGCTAACTGAGAGGGAGGGTGCTGGTAAGGAACATGAGGGGAAGTTGGGTAGGCTCCCGTTCTCTGTTGCTAACTGAGAGGGAGGGTGCTGGTAAGGAACATGAGGGGAAGTTGGGGAGGCTCCCGTTCCCTGTTGCTAACTGAGAGGGAGGGTGCTGGTAAGGAACATGAAGGGAAGTTGGGGAGGCTCCCGTTCCCTGTTGCTAACTGAGAGGGAGGGTGCTGGTAAGGAACATGAGGGGAAGTTGGGGAGGCTCCCGTTCTCTGTTGCTAACTGAGAGGGAGGGTGCTGGTAAGGAACATGAGGGGAAGTTGGGGAGGCTCCCGTTCTCTATTACTAACTGAGAGGGAGGGTGCTGGTAAGGAACATGAGGGGAAGTTGGGGAGGCTCCCGTTCCCTGTTGCTAACTGAGAGGGAGGGTGCTGGTAAGGAACATGAGGGGAAGTTGGGTAGGCTCCCGTTCTCTGTTGCTAACTGAGAGGGAGGGTGCTGGTAAGGAACATGAGGGAAGTTGGGTAGGCTCCCGTTCTCTATTACTAACTGAGAGGGAGGGTGCTGGTAAGGAACATGAGGGGAAGTTGGGTAGGCTCCCGTTCTCTATTACTAACTGAGAGGGAGGGTGCTGGTAAGGAACATGAGGGGAAGTTGGGGAGGCTCCCGTTCTCTGTTGCTAACTGAGAGGGAGGGTGCTGGTAAGGAACATGAGGGGAAGTTGGGGAGGCTCCCGTTCCCTGTTGCTAACTGAGAGGGAGGGTGCTGGTAAGGAACATGAGGGCCTGGGGTCCGTGCTGAACACCCTTGGACTAGACTTCTCATCCGCTCCAGGACGGGTGGCTGTTTACACAGCAAAGACAGGGCCCATCTTCAAGTTCTAGTTCTTGCTCAGGAAGACCTCATGTCAACTTTCCTTATACATATTCAATGGCAGAGGGCTCTGCTAATTTATTAAACCAAACTTTTAAATTGCACCTATGCTATCAAAACCCTTATTCATTATGTAACTCCTATGCTGACTATGACCAAGTTAGGTTTCACAGACTAAGAAGTTCACTCCAGAAAAAAAGTCATAGTTAAATATCTATCCTAAGAATAAAAGCAAATGAAAAAATAATATTTACTAATCTGCCAGCAAAATTTTAACAATAAATAAAGGAAAAACATACTTACAATTTCTTCTTCTAGAACACCTCTAAAAGCCTGGTCAAGGGTACATTTTTTTTCATTTTCACTATTAAAAACAAAAAACACCTGCATTTTTAAAACAGCTCAGGGTAAGTATAAAGATTTCAATGAGCCCATGTCATGGATATTAATGCCTTACCTGCCAGGTAACTGGCTAAAGGTATTCAACAAGGGCTTGATATTTTTGTTGTTCAGGGCCTCTCTCGTAGATTTCTAGAAGAAAAAAAAAAGCACATAAGTTGAAGGAGTTTTTTGTTCACTGAAAAACACACCACTCATTAATTGTATGTCTAACTAAAAAATGTTTCTGAGAAAAATTATGTCAGTCATTTCAGCAGTAATTCTCATTCAAATGCTACTTACTCATCACTTGAAGCTTGTCGAGAGCTTCCAAGCTCAGTTTTCTCATTCTAGGTTTTCCCTCCTACCTTTCGTTTAAATATGCTATTCATTCTGCTTTAAAAATGGCCCCTTATTTACAGGTTTTGTTTCACAGCTTCCTCTAAAGGTCCTTAATAATGTTATCCCACTCAATCTATCCAACCTTATTTCCCAGTAACCCCAAACACATACTGTCCACTAGGCTCTAGCCACTTTTCCATCATTTTCTATCAAGTTCACTCTACTGTATCCATGCACATTGTTCTTCCCACATGCTCATGCAAATTCTATCCATTCTTTAAGACCCAACAAAAGTCCTACCTCCTCTAGGTAGTTGCACAGCACAGTCCCTGACATCAAGTAAACACTGATGTCTTAAAGTACTAAACCTGCTGACTGTCACAAAGTAGACGTAAGTGGAAAGGAAAAATACTGCCAAGTCATTCACTCTGTGAAAATTCACATACACTTAGAAAATTACCTTGTTACCTCACAGGAGTTACATTTATACTGGAAATGGTCCATTCCTGGCTCTGTGAATAGGCTGTGTAATCTTGGTGCATGCAAGTTCAGTGGTGTCCGACTTTTCGTGACCTCAGGGACTGTACCCCGCCAGGCTCCTCTGTTCATGGGATTCTCCTGGCAAGAATACTGGAGCGGGTTGCCATTCCCTTCTCCAGGGGATCTTCCCCACCTGGGCAATGAACCCACGTCTCCTTCGCCTCCTGCACTGGCAGGCGGATTCTTTATCACTGCACCACCTGGGAAGTTCATAATCTAGAGCATACCCCTTTGTCCCTGTGATTCATTTTCCTCACCAGTTACATATATGGATTGTTGTAGATCCTTATTACCACCAGCAGCAGTGGCATTACCTGAGAACTTGTTAGAAATGCAGACTCTCAGGCCCCATTCCTACTGAACCAGAATTTCATTTAACAAGATCTCCAGGTGATCCCAACCCATGCTCAATCTTAAGAAGCACTGGGGTGGATGATCTATTAAACAGTCCCTTCCAGGACTGAAAGGACCTTGGATACACCTAACAATTTCTCCTCATAGAATTTAAGAAAATTAGGGACGAATACAGTCAAACGACTTAGAACAAGGTTCTTCATTTGGTGATGGGCAACATAAAAAGAATACTAAGTCTGAAGTCAGAAAAAACAGTGAAGAAAATCATTTAACTTTTATGCTTTCAAACTGTGGTACTGGAGAAGACTCCGGAGAGTCCCTTGGACTGCAAGGAGATCAAAGCAGTCAACCTAAAGGAAATCAACCCTAAATATTCTTTGGAAGGACTGATGCTGAAGCTCCAAACTTTGGCCACCTGATACGAAGAGCTGACTCACTGGAAAAGACCCTGATGCTGGGAAAGACTGAAGGCAGAAGAAGGGTGTGACAGAGGACGAGATGGTTGGGTGGCATCACCGACTCAATGGACATGAGTTTGAGCAACCTCCGGGACATGGTGAAGGGCAGGGAAGACTGGCGTGCTGCAGTCCATGAGGTCGCAAAGGGTCGGACACGACTTAGCGACTGAACAACAAAGGCGGGGGCTGGGGGGCGGGCTGTCTCAGTTTCTATCTCATCTACTGCGGATTATTAAACACCCTACTTCACAGGGCTATTCTGAGTTAAATAAGCTAACATCAAAACGCTCTGTAAAGTGTTTCCCCAAATGCTTAAATTACTGTTCCCCAAGGCGGAAGAATAAAATGACAGCTGACACCCCTTCCCAAGCTGATCAGTTTGCCTCGCCCCATTTAGGACCGTCCTCAACGATCTCTAAGGAGTGAGATACAAAGGGTTAAAGGGTGATGAATAAGCGGCGAGAACCACCTGGCAGTTAGGAAGCGGGACGGGAGCCGGTTCTCTGGACTAAAACCATTCCCACCTTCCCTCTAGAGCAGCCCCCTGCCAGTTCTGGAAACACCCGCCTGGCTAAGCGAGCACCGCAGAGGAGCAGGACCCAGAGGTAGTCTGCGGGTGAGCCGTCCACTCAGGTCGCAGGGTCCCGGGACCCGCTGGCGGAAAGGAGGAGGCGGACCGCAGAGGACTCGTGGAAGAGGCAGGTAAGGCGCCTTTATCGCCTCCCCAGCCCACGACGGGGCCGGGAACCCGTCGCCGAGGCGCAACGCCTCTGTCCCCGCTTTACCCCAGTGCTAAATTCGAGTAATTTCAGGGAGAGGAAAGCAACACATAGCGTTGGGCCGGGGCCGCGCCCACCCGCCCGCAGCTCACCGTAAACCGCGTCCGCGCTTCGGGCAAACTGAAGAGCGGCGGCGTCGGAGACATCTTCTTGGCTGCGCGTGCCCGCCACTTCGTCGCGGCGCCCGGCGATGACGTCAGGCCGGGAGCAACGAGAGTGCCGGCTCCGTGCACGGCTAGAGCGGCTTGTGGGCGCAGGGGCGGGTCCGGTGGCGGATGGGAGCTTCCCTGGTGACGGAGGTCGGGCGGGCTTTGGGAGCCAGGATTAGCCAGCCACTCAGCGCCCGATCCGGGTTCGTGGGTAACAACCCATGGGGTGACTGCAGACGCGCGGCTTCGCCCTGTGCACCCTGCGGGTTACAAGCCGGGACGCGCGGGCTCTTGGCGGGGTTTTCCTGGTTTGGGAAGCCGGGTGAATGGCGGCTGGTTACGGCTCGATGGGCCGCGAGGGAAGGTAGTCGCCGTCTGAGAACCCAAGTCAGGCGGCTTCTCCGGGAGCTCCGGGCTGGGGAGGTGACGGCAGTGGCCGTCGGATCAAAGTCCTTCTTCCCGAAGGAGTGGTCCCAGCTCCGGATTCGCGCATCTGCCTTGCAGGGCACGGGCCCTGAAGCTCAGGTGCAGTTCCATCTTCTGAGAAATAAAAATAATACTTGTATCCCTGGGCTGTTGAGGAGCGTGAATGAAGTCATGAATGCAAGCGTGGCTTGTGTAGCAATGTAATGTGTGGGGATTCGTTCATTTTGCTGGCAGATAGAGGGCTCTACTGAATGAGGAAGATCGTGGAGGAACGCAGTACTAGGCGCTGATTGGATAGCCGGTGGCGCCAAATCCCGGGGTTAAGGCACCTGTTGCAAGACCTAGTCTTCTGCCCGGTTTCCTCCCTCGTCTCCGCTCACTTGGCCAATGAGAAGCCAAGGGGCAGTTGTCTTTCCGTTGGAATTATGCGGTGGGGAAAGAAGCACTGACCCAAACACTTCCTGCCAACTCTTACCACCTGCACGTGTTCCTAAATGAAAGCCTGGCGCGCTATACCTGGTTCCCTTCGTGGATATCCAGCTAGAGTAAGGACGCTAACAAAAATATAGCTTTGCGTAATCTTGTCCCTAAGTAATTGTGAACAGTGATGGCTACCTGGAGCGTTGCAGGTTTTTTTTAGAATCAATAGAATCGTTTAGGTTTGATTGTACAACGTACGTTGCCAAATTGCCCAGATCAGCTGGTATTAACTGATTTAATAGGTAGCTGATGTAATCGGATTGTTATCATACTATGGATGATTATTAACTATGTGGAGCACAGCTAAAGTAAATAAAATTTATGCAAGAGATAAATAATAAATATATGTGTGTGTGTATATATATATATATATATATATATATTTTTACAAAAATCCAAACGGAAGAAGAGCTTGAGTTTGTTGATGCATCCATCAAAGTCTAGAATTTAAATTAGCCAAAGACTTAGAATTGTGGGTTTTTTTTTAATCACACATTTGCTGTGCACCTGTGCTCTCTATAGGCAATGGACAGTATTTCTTGAATGAATAGTAGCTATACGTTTGAATAACCAAAATAATATAGATTAATTGCTGTTTTGAGGAGCTGGCAATAAGACAAGGAAATAGGCATTGCAATTTTAAAAGATACTCATCAAAAATCACTACCAGAGAAATGTTTTAGCGTTTAGATCGTAAAAATGCCTTGTAATTCCCAAGCACTTAACGTGTAAGATATTTGATCCTCTAAATGATATTTTAAGGTGAGTAACACAGCTGTTGTGCTCATTTTACACATGAGGAAGCAAACTCAAAGAGATAGGGTTCCTGATAGAAGTAATTGGCCAAATGAGACTACCCATGGGTTTTGATTAGGATTTTTGAGCTCTTTACTGTTACAGTGTCTGTAAGTAATAGTCAAGTTTTATTGAGTACCTTCTATGAGCCAGACACTTTTCTTGTATTATCCCTCCTCCTTAGCATGACATTGTACATAACAGGCTTGTTTGTCCTGGGTCATATGTCTAGAGAAAGCTGTTTAGAATTTGAACCCCTAACTTTAATCCCAAAGCTTGCATTTTTCTTGAATCTTAACCCATAAATCTTTACAAAGCTATGGACCTGGTTAATGTCTCATAAATTATTCCTTATAATTAGAGAAGGGTAAGGATCGTGAAGAGGAACTAAAAAGCCTCTTGATGAGAGTGAAAAATTTGGCTTAAAGCTCAACATTCAGAAAACTAAGATCATGACATCTGGTCCCATCACTTCATGGGAAATAGATGGGGAAATAGTGGAAACAATGTCAGGCTTTATTTTCTGGGGCTCCAAAATCACTGCAGATGGTGATTGCAGCCATGAAATTAAAAGACACTTACTCCTTGGAAGGAAGGTTATGACCAACCTAGATAGCATATAAAAAGCAGAGACATTACTTTGCCAACAAAGGTCCGTCTAATCAAGGCTATGGTTTTTCCAATAGTCATGTATAGATGTGAGAGTTGGATTGTGAAGAAAGCTGGGCACCGAAGAATTGATGCTTTTGAACTGTGGTGTTGGAGAAGACTCTTGAGAGTCCCTTGGACTGCAAGGAGATCCAACCAGTCCATCCTAAAGGAAATTAGTCCTGAGTATTCATTGGAAGGACTGATGTTGAAGCTGAAACTCCAAACTCCAAACTTTGGCCACCTGATGCGAAGAACTGACTCACTGAAAAAGACCCTGATGCTGGGAAAGATTGAAGGCAGGAGGAGGAGAAACAGTAGAGGATGAGATGGTTGGATGGCATCACTGACTCGATGGACATGAGTTTGAGTAAACTCCAGGAGTTGGTGATGGACAGGGAGGCCTGGCATGCTGTGATTCATGGGATCACAAAGAGTTGGACGCGACTGAGCAACTGAGCTGAAGGATCATATTGTCATTCATAGCATAAGTTTTCTAAGTATGTAATAATACCATTCCAAAGGCAGACATCCAATAATGCATAAACTTTAATTTAATTGGGCACCTCTTTTTCCTCTTATATTAGTGCACAATTGTATAAACAGTACATAACTGTATAAACCTTCAAATAGCCAAAGCAGTCTTGAGAAAGGATAAAACTGAAAGTATCACTTCCTGATTTAAAAAAAAAAAATTACAAGCTACAATAATCAAAATAATATGGTGCTGGCATAAGAACAGATGTGTAGACCAATGGAACAGAATAGAGAGCCCCCAAATAAATATATGGTCATATATTTTATATTTATATATGGGCAACGTATGTTCAATAAGAGTGCTCAGAACACACAATGGGAATAGGATAGTCTCTTCAATAACTGATGTTGGGAGGACTTCTCCGGTGGTCCGGTGGTTAAGACTCCACACTTCCAATGCAGGAGACGCAGGTTTGATTCTTGGTTGGGAAACAGGATCCCCTTTGCCGCATGGTGTGGCCATTAAAAAAAAAAAAAAATGGCGTTGGGAATACTGGACATCCATGTGCAGAGGAATGAAATCAAACCTTTACCTCACATTATACATTTTTAACAGAGAAGGCAATGGCAACCCACTTCAGTACCCTTGCCTGGAAAATCCCATGGACGGAGGAGCCTGGTAGTCTGCAGTCCATGCGGTCACGAAGAGACGGACACAACTGAGTGACTTCACTTTCACTTTTCACTTCCACACATTGGAGAAGGAAATGGCAACCCACTCCAGTGTTCATGCCTGGAGAATCCCAGGGACGGGGGAGCCTGGTGGGCTGCCGTCTATGGGGTCACACAGAGTCGGACACGACTGAAGCGACTTAGCAGCAGCAGCAACATACACTTTAAAAAACCAACTCAAGTTAAAATGGCAGAAGACATAAACAGGAAATTCACACAGAGGGGAAATATGAAAAGATGCTTAGCTTCCTGAGCAATTAGGGAAATGCATAAAACAATACTGTGATATTGTTTTCTCATCTATGAGATTGGCATGAGCTTAAAAGTTTAATGCATGTTGGGGAGGAGGTTGGGCACCTGTACTCGGCTGATGGAAATGGAATCTGTTGCAACCATTTTGGAAATGAATTGGCATTTTAGTAAGGTTGAAGAATTCTACTCTAGGTATAAACACAAAAGGATTTCTTATACGTGCATACAAAAAGACCTGTGCATGTATATTATTTTGGTACTGCTGGTAATGCCACAGAATTGGAAACATAAAGTGTCAATCAATGAATTGCTGAGTAAATTTTAAAATACTCATTTGCTGAGATTTTAAGGCAGAGAAAATGAAAGAGCTAAATGTATTTGTTGCGGTGTGAATAAATCTCTTTGTTGAAGTGATCATGTTTTACTTATAGAACCCGGGTCTCCTTCACTGTTCAGTTCAGTCACTCAGTCGTGTCTGACTCTTTGTGACTCCATGAACCGCAGCACGCCAGGCCTCCCTGTCCATCACCAACTCCCGGAGTCCACCCAAACCCATGTCCATTGAGTCAGTGATGCCATCCTACCATCTTATCCTCTGTCGTCCCCTTCTCCTCCTGCCCTCAATTTTTCCCAGCATCAGGGTCTTTTCAAATGAGTCAGCTCTTCGCGTGAAGTGGCCAAAGTATTGCAGTTTCAGCTTCAGCATCAGTCCTTCCAGTGAACATCCAGGACTGATCTCCTTTAGGATGGACTGGTTGGATCTCCTTGCAGTCCAAGGGACTCTCAAGAGTCTTCTCCAATACCACAGTTCAAAAGCATCAATTCTCCGGCACTCAGCTTTCTTTATAGTCTAACTCTAACATCCATACATGACTACTGGAAAAACGATCGCCTTGACTAGACGGACCTTTGTTGACAAAGTAATGTCTCTGCTTTTTAATATGCTGTCTAGGTTGGTCATAACTTTCCTTCCCGCCATGGCTGCAATCACCATCTGCAGTGATTTTGGAGCCCAGAAAAATAAAGTCAGCCACTGTTTCCACTGTTTCCCCATCTATTTGCCATGAAGTGACGGGACTGGATGCCATGATCTTAGTTTTCTGAATGTTGAGCTTTAAGCCAACTTTTTCACTCTTCTTTCACTTTCATCTAGAGGCTCTTTAGTTCTTCTTCACTTTCTTCCATAA